AACTGGTGCAGGGTTCTTCGATCTGGGAAAAGGTTGATAAATACTCTTGCTCATCGTCCAGCCGTTCTACCGTTAGGTGTGCGTTGGCCGACGGTAAGCGATTGAATCGCCTCTCAGTCTGCCTTTGTTCCCTGGGTCTGCACTCGCTTATCTTTATTTCTCTAGGAGATGTGTCAGATACGTTATACCAGGATTCCAAGGTAGTTCTACCTATGTCCGGAGTCAAGGATTACTTGGAGTAGCCTGGGGGTACGTATAGTCGAGAGGTGAGCCGGCCTTGGAAGACGATTAATTCTTCCGGCCTTCACATTGGCTTTTAGTTTTCTGACAATATATCTCCACCGATTTATGTCGTGGATAAGTTCGGCAGTATCGGTACCTGGATATTCGGGAATCCCGTGTATAATTGCCGAGCAGCATAACTCTTGAGAGTGAATCTTCTTGCCGTTGCGAAGAAGTTCTCGCACTGACCAGGGTCTATCAGGTTTAATCCTGACGTCAGACAGTTTACGTTTCACCAACTAATGACCTTTCAGAAGGATGTGTTCGGACTGGCGTGTACTATCAACAGATACTCTTAAAGGTCTAGGAGAGCCTTTGAGGGGGAACTTACTTCGCGCTAGGCGTTGAAGATATGGACTACAAGGAGAGGTTCCTAGGAGTTTGAAAACACTCTTCCATTGGCCAGGGCCACGTTCTTCACGATCAGTCAATAGGAAGGAGTCGCTTTCCCGAACGCTGGAGAGTATGAGTGGTCTGGGATTGAGGTTATGGTCTGTCTTTTGGAGTTTATTCCATCATGTGAATAAAGACTCAGATTTCTGATGAGCCTTTTGCGAGTGACTCGAAAGACCTGAGGTGCCAGCTGTGGGAGTTTTCTTGATGATTGAGCGAGGCTGGTGGTGAAATGCGGGTGGCTTCCGCCCCGAGTTACAGGTGGTGGGAGCAAGAACTGCTTTTTTCGGAACACTTTTCACCTGAGTAGGAGGGGCAATGTTCAACTTATGGTTCGGCTTCTCATTAGGCTGGGTAGTCGTTACTCTGTCAGACTTACAATCGTTACTTAATGTTCCGTTTATAACTGAACTGACCTGTCTATATTTCTTCAGACCTTTCTTTCGGCGCTTATCAGGTGTGAGATTCCCATTCATCACTGAGGGGATAGGTTCCAAAGGCATGCTAACGGGCAGACGGTCCGTGACAGCGATGAATTCGCTACTTCCCTTACTGCTAACTTGAGGGATCTTTTTATGGCCATGAGACTTCTTTAGATTGAGGCTGGTTTGTGTAGAGATCTCAGCCGCGAGGTGGTCGGAGTTCTGTCTCACCAGCTGTAGGCCTACTTAGTACTTACTTTTGGACCTACAACATGGACAAAAATACCGATCAACATCAAAAGGGCTATTAGGCAGCGCTTCATAATAACCAGATGGCTGGCCGGAATCACAGAAGCAGTGAGTCTACTGGAAGCAAAGCCCACAACCCATCGCCTTAGCTGAGAAGCTGACATTTCCGCGACAAACTACGCAGACATCCCTTGAAACCGTCATTAAACTGTATAAAGGGTAGAAAAATGTTCGTTCAAGGAGTTATGAACCTCAACACAGTAAATATAACAAACTAATCAAAATTTGTCAAACCCAACTGCCTTTTTGAAAAGTTTGACAAGGTGGCTCTTCTTCCGGTCAACCGGTGGGTACCTTTCCTTTCTTCTAAACCTTCTGCAGTAGTGGTATGAGCATGTCTGCTGTTGTCTCTAAGTCTCTTTTCAGGGCTTCTGGCGCAATTCCATCTGGTCCTGCTGCTTTCCCGGATTTCAGGCATCCAGGACTTCGGCCTTCGTCGGTTCCATGGCTGGGCTGCTGGTGGCATCTTTGGACGAGCCGCAGGTGGTGGTGGTGGTGGTCGATTCAAGAGATTTTTTGAAGTGCTCGGCTCATCGTTCCCTTTGCTTCTCCCCTTTCCCAACTGGGTTTCCTTCACTGTCTCTCATTGGTTTCGCCTGGGTTGATCTCTTCTCAGATAGTAGTCTGGTTATTTGACATAATTTTGTCAGGCCTCTGGCTCTCTTACCTACAGCCTGTTCTGCTTCAGTCGCAAGTGTATCGTAGAAGCGTCTGTTGTCTTTCCGTGCAGTTCTCTTCGCTTCTTTGTCCAGTGTCTTATACGTTGTATTCAGTTCCTCCCTTCTCTGTTCATCCTTGCGCTAGTTCATCTTCCGCCTCACCATCTTCCTCTCCTCTATCAGCTTCCATGTGTCCGTGACGCTTCATTCCTTGTCTTGGCCACAAAAAATTGTGCGACTTATGTGGCGTAAGTGCGCGTAATGACGCGTATAAATATCAGAGCAACCTATCCAGACAACCAAATTACCATCCGAAAAGTTTATATCGGTTCATGTCACCTCGGAAAACGATGAGTGGAGGTTTGAATTTGATCATAGGACCGACCGAAGCACCCTTGAATGACAGTGGTACGGCGGAACCGCTGAGCACCCAACTTGACAGGTAACCAAAACAGTGATGCATCCGCCGCCGACACCCAGTAATGTGACGAAGTTCCAAGACCTCAACACAAATTCCATATCAGATTTGTTTATTTGATTTATGACACACAGTGGTGCAGAATTATTCACGTGATGACTTTTCGAACATAAATTATTGCTCGTAATCATTTCAATATCAGTACCATGCCAACACCACACGGATATGATTATGAGCAATGATTTATGTTTGAAACATCATCAAGCAAATAATTCTGCACCACTGCGTGTTATAAATCAAATGGACAAATCTGATATGGAATTAAGTTCTACCACAGCGCTCAAGTTTTACACTTATACTATGACACAAAGCTGATGGAGGCAAAAATCTCGCTAAACCAAGTGTTTACGAAACTTTCAGTGCTCAGCATGGGAAAATCTCCGGGCTGTGGCAACGTAATACCATCGGTCCTGCGCGATTGTGCTGGGGTGCTAACCATACCCGTTGATAATCTGTTGACTCACTGGTTGGAAGTAAGCCAACTTTCCAACTAATGGAATCGTCCTATTCTTTCACCAGTCTTCTAGGGAGAAGACCGAAAAAACGGGTTCAGTAGTATTCCAATAGCCTTACTTCCCACACTATCCAAGGTACTGGGAAGCCTGTTCGCAGATGTTGCTTGGGACGACCTAACTGGAAACAACATGGTTCATGCTACCTAACACGGCTTCAGGACCGAATGGTCAAGCGCCACAAACTTGAACGCCATTCGGGATGACTGGACTACCATATGGGACAATAAGCAACCAGTCTACGTTGTTTCCGGACTTTGCCGAAGCTTTCGATTGCGTCTTGTAGCTCTGCCTCCTCTTTCGACTTCCATGTGTTGATTGAGTTCCATTCCTTTTGTCGTTTCACCTTCGTTCCTAATATGTTCATGCAATTTTTTCCACATAGCTTTCAGGATTCCAGTGTTCTTCTGAGCAGTTTTCCTCGGGGGTTTTGTGTCTGCCAGTCTGTCCTCATAACTTACACGGAAATGCCTCATATTTTCATCCCTCACTTTCTGTTCTGTGTGTTGAACGTGAACTCTGGTCTATCACCAGCTGATTTGAAGGCTTTCAGCTTGATCTGGAAGGTTCCTTGCATCAAACGGTGTGTTGTGTGGATCACATCTGCTCCCTTTCTTGATCATTTGTCAAGTAGGCTGCGTCTCCATCTCCACCTTCTTCACACTGAGATGAAGCCGATCTGACTTTTAGCGTGTCCGTGCGGCGAAATCAAACCCATGACGCTTTGTGAATATCCTTGTGTCTGTACATGTTCATGCTACCTAACACGGCTTCAGGACCGAATGGTCAAGCGCCACAAACTTGAACGCCATTCGGGATGACTGGACTACCATATGGGACAATAAGCAACCAGTCTACGTTGTTTCCGGACTTTACCAAAGCTTTCGGTAGCGCACACACCTCACTGTGCTCGTTAAATTTGGGACGGCAGTTCGACCGAATCACTCTCAGGATGACACGTATGTAATCACAAATGTATCCAGGCGGAGGTACATGAGACTGAACTTCCTCAAGTTGAGCACTAGTGCTTACTACAGTGGACTGTCTGCAACCGCTGGCCGTTTCGTGTACTTTCTAAGGAGGCAGCTCGGAGTGCTGACCACAGAATTATCCTTTGGTAGACCACACATAGAGGTATTGATCACGACGGCCCCCTTCACTGCGAGAGACATGAGAAGGCACGTGGAAGGAAGATGAGATCCGTCGTCGGACTTAGGGGCAAAGCGCATGCGCAAAAACTGGGACAACTCAGCCTGCTCATATTAAGCCATCCAAGGAAAAGAGGCGAACTAACGAAAGCCTACAAGGTCATTCCTTTCATACAGATTGTGTGCCTTACGCAGCGCTTCGTCGGAGGCAGTGGCCACAACTACACCAGATAACTCCTTCAAATAACTGTTGCTTTAGTACGTGTGCACAAACGGCTAACCACTAACATTTATCAGTAGCAACTGAAAGTATGCTCATCCACCCCTGCATTCCCCTACCCTGCTATCCACAATAAGGCCCATCCCTTCTCCACATCAGTTCCAGTAACTCAATCATCTTTTTCGCAATCCCAACTAGACCTGTTGCTAAAACATTTTAAGTAACGCTGAGTACTTACTTACAGGCCCTCACGAAAAAAAAGAGTTGTAACGGGTTAACTGATCTTGTTAGAAACTTTGTTGCCCCTCCAAACAAACCAAGCTAGAATTTGCAAGAAGAAATACCTTCGAATAGACAATCACTACCTCCAAAGCTAAAAACAGAAAAAATATAAACATTTCTACCACCACCGAAGGAGCGTAGCCGAAAAAAGGAACCGATTCCCAGGATCTAGAGAGAGCTCAAAAACTACAAGCTTCCTCTACTCGCCTAATTGTTGTTGGAAGTTGGATGTTTGTTGAAGTCACTTATGAATGATCTTTACATATGGCGGTCAATTGATTTCGTTTCATTGAGAATGGATAGGTTAGTGTCTGTAGGCGCTCCAGTGTTACAGAGCACACCAAAGAATACAGAAAGACGAAGTACTAAATTGTTAAACTTAGAAACACCACATATTGCGTTGGCCGGTGGTGGTGCTGGTCGACCAAATTTAGCTGTAAATCAAAAAAGTAATTAATTTTTGTACTTACGATGACATTTTTAATGTACTATGTGGCTTTCCTAAGCGATTTAATGTTCATTATGACAAAAGAATTTCACGTTTAGGTTAGGATATCTTATAATTAAACAAGCATCACCCAATACTGAAGTCAGATGTTTCCACTGAGGCAATTCGGGTCGCATCTGATCTCCTATAGGACTGAATTATACACAGTGATTAGTTATTGGTGACCATATTGCATCGTCCAGCAATCACTTAAAACTAGACAGCTATTGTGTTCTATCCCACTGTCAACAGCTACACTGCATCTCGACGACCAAATTGTCAAGCTTTCTTTCAAATGGGAACTGAACAATCGTAAAAGACATAGGACCACCTTCCGTTTGCTGTAAAAATAGCATTAAAGGCTGCACATAACTCAGGAAGGAATTAGGAACGGGTCAGTAGTTCTCAATAGCTTCTTCTGATTTTAACGGATGTGCATAAACGCATTTATGTGAGCTCCAACACACCAATGAGAAGGGTAGGGAGGAAGTAACTCAAGTGTAGGCAATGATCGTGAATAGTTGTGGGCAGCGAAGGATATAAGAGAAGGAGCTGCAATAGGTAACAGTAGTGAGTTGTTTAGACTGATCGAAGGAATTGGGACGAAAAAAACCCAACAGTTAGTAAGGCTAGATCAGAGAAGGATAGGTCTGCGAATTACTGGTAGGGAAGGACGAACGGAAAGCAGTGCAACTGGCCTTCACCTACTATTTGATTGACCCTTGTGCACTTAATAAGATCCTAAATGGCACATAAACAGACCTCCCAACTCATGCAGAAGTTGAAAAGGCCGTTAATAAGGTGAAACGAGGAAGATCAGCAGATCGCGATGGGTTTACACCAAACGTATTATATGGTGGTGTTCAAAGGTTATTGGTTGGATTAAATAAATTGTTAGCTAGTGTATGGGAATTAGATATGATCCTTTCTGACTGGTCTCAATCACCAATTGTTCCAGTCTTCAAGACTGCTGAGAAGTACCCTTATAATAATCATACTAGAGTCATACTGACAATCATTATGTCTCAGGTTGCAGATTCCTTTATTATCAAAACCTAAATGGAGCTCGGAAACAGCAAACTCGAGTAAACCAGGCACATTTCAAACCTGGTTGCATGTGAAACGACCAGATATTCACCACCCTCCACGAGGTTTTGAAACACAGGTACACTCACCAAATCTAACCGTATTTCCCTACCTAAAGGCGATATTGGATTCCTTTGACTGACAAATAGTCTTCTGGACATGTTGACCAGCAATTTGAGAATGTTTAGGATGTCTTTCTCACCATCCAAATGTGAATTGCTGTCCGAAGACTAGTTTGCTCTCGTGTCCCGTTTAACAAGAGGGGCAGTGGAGAGGTTCAGTGTGTTGATCACCTCATTTTCTTGAGAAGTCAGATCACTGTCTGGTGAAATCCGTAAACAGATATAAAAAGAAGGCTTGACTGGTCTTCGTCAGTGTACGCCATTCACAGAGTGATCATGTCTGGTTCCCTACTAAAGGATGAGAAATCCTGCTCTGTAGTACTCCCTACCCTACTATATGCCGGTGATAAATGGTCATTGAAAGTAGACGAGACGAGAAGACTCACGGTGTTCAACCATTAATTGAATTCATAGCATACACCATATGTCGTGATGTCACCACGTCAGTGAGTGACGTAAAAGTTAGGCGTAGAGTCTTAAACAGAAGTGTTGAAGTCAATTGATGCGATTACGAACTTTCATCGACTCAGCTGGTTCAGACACGTGTTTCCGTCTTCTCCATTCCACAATATTGGTTGAGGTGGCTTCAAGCTGAATAAAAAGGTTCGATAGCGTCAGACTAAAACAGCATCCGTCAACAAAGTTTCTCACTGTTGGTCTAAACCATGTGAACTTCCCGTTTGGGAGGCGACGTGACAACCGAAATCGGTGTTTAAAGAGTCTAGGGGTAGATATAGTTTAGAATCAATCTTAGTAGAGCAGTTGTTTCCCCACTCATTATCTTTATTATCTGAATCGTCCTGTCGGGTTTCAGTTTTCTCCCATTCTTTTCATCCTCCTCTTGTTTTACAACTTGATACTAATCTAATTGCTTTATTCCTGATTTCTTTATTTCCCAACTATGTGACTTCTACTTTGACGTAACTTTAACAGCTACACAATAATGCGTTCCCATGTTTACCTTGAATGACTGACTAGCTTAATAATCAGACATTTAGTTTACTGTCTTTTTATTCTTGCTTCTTATCAAATATATGCCGCATCCAGTTGGCCATCAGTTTTACTCACATCCTTGTTTGACACTGACTGAAATTCTGATCAACGTGTGTACTGTACTGTTGTTCTGGACCATTGAATAGCAAGAAGAAGCTTCACCTTCCTTGCTCAACTACTCCAGAGACAAGTGTGATGTTGAATTCCACTGCCTTCAGTCTATCTATACACCTTGATGCAAGTCAGACAATGAACGGGTTCGACTACTGACATACGCCGTACTTCATATTAAAGATCCCAGTGAAATGCTTAACATAAGTTATCCATCTATCAAGCTCAAAAAGTATGTTTACTGTGAGCTTATCAAAAGACTTTCAGGGGTACCTGCAGCTACCACTGGTGATGTGGATATCGCATTTATTGCTAAGACTGAAGATTACCTAGTTGACTGGATCCTTCTTAATACTGCTCGGTGTGTTATTAGGCTCCAAGGTTAGATTAGAATAAAAAGTAACTGTCAAGGAAAATGATACTTCGCTACCACTGACACCTAAGCTCTAACAGACTGCAGCCCGAATGAAGAAAGCGATGATTTCTACCACCTAATGAACAACCTCTTCAACCAACACCACTTGACAGATATCATGGTGCTATCTAGGGACTTCGATGCACAAGCCGAATAACGTCATTCGGATTAGCTGACCACAGACAGGATAATGCGAACTGTTCTCTACAGCTATGCATAAATGACAGCCTGATTCTGGGTGGCACCGATTTCCAGCAAAACTGTCGCCTCTATGCTACCTGAAATCCTTCATAATCGGATCCCAAAGCAAATAACCAAAATCTCAAACTTGAGCAAACGAAGCCAGGAAGTGTCAACCACCCATATGCTTCGAGTAGTAAACAAGACCTAATCAAACATAACCTATGCTCCTCAACTCTATCACCTCCATCGCCTTCACCTTCTGATACTTCTATAACAGCACTTACAACTTCTCCAACCTCTCACTCTACGACCATAGACATATGCATAAATGACAGCCTGATTCTGGGTGGCACCGATTTCCAGCAAAACTGTCGCCTCTATGCTACCTGAAATCCTTCATAATCGGATCCCAAAGCAAATAACCAAAATCTCAAACTTGAGCAAACGAAGCCAGGAAGTGTCAACCACCCATATGCTTCGAGTAGTAAACAAGACCTAATCAAACATAACCTATGCTCCTCAACTCTATCACCTCCATCGCCTTCACCTTCTGATACTTCTATAACAGCACTTACAACTTCTCCAACCTCTCACTCTACGACCATAGACAACTTTCAAAGTAAGTGAAGTGGTTGACACATTCCACCACTTTATTCCTTATCATTAACCTCAGAGTCGTTTGAGGCTAATCTTGCAGCGTCATCTTACATTACATTTGACAGGTACCAGTGAAATGCATGCTAAACACTCCCAGACTTCTGATAAACGCCTTCAGAACACCCTACATTTTATCAGCATCTTCTACTAGCAGGACAACGTCATCTACATACTCCAAGTGAAGCAGCTGGCCTGGAAGAAGCAGATCGATCCCTGTAAAGTCAGACGTACCTACCTTCATGTACATTAATACCCCTATGACGAAGTTAAGTAGAAATGGTGATACTGGACATCACTGACGAAAACCTCTTTCTGTAACAAATTTGACATCTCTCTCATAGCATTCGTTCTTTCTCGCATCATCCAAACTGCAGTTCGTGAGTAGGTGCGTTCGCGGAGATTTCGAATAGGCATCGATTAGTCACACAATCCTTCCTAGTTCTCACACATACATTCAGTCGAACACCACATAGACGACTGTTAACTGGTATCCAACTTAGTACTATGCCTACACCAGGAAACCAACGACAGCTAGCCACTGAGTCTCCAGATACTCTTCAGGTGAATTCTCAAGATTCACTACTATGCTCAGGTGAAGTCAATTCAGTAACCACACTCGGGTTCTGTATACGTGTCTCAGAGACAGCATACATTCATGACTACTGAGTCCAGAGTTCTGGCAGGAGATACCTGTTCTCCGAGTAGACATAGAGTTCGAGACGTTGAAACCTCCTACATGAAATCGATGATGGGGTCTTAGAGGACTAGGATTGGAGTTTGGATGGCTTTGATCGTTGGCAAAAATAGCAGACTGAGATGTTGGGGAAGGTGTAAGTGCCTTAATATTGGTTTCAGGAGATGAAGGCAATGCAGGAGACAGAGTTGAGGAGGATGTGTTGTTTTTGATTAGGTCTTGTGTGCTGCTGGAAGTGTGTGTGTGTGTGTGTGTGTGTGTGTGTGTGTGTGTGTGTGTGGAGGGCCGGGGGTGGATGGTTGACACTTCCTGGTTGCCCAAACTCTGGAAGACCATTTTTTGAGGTACTTGATGTTTGTGACCACAGCAATCATGAGACATCTACTTGGGGCCTGTTACATGCAGTTTTGAGGACTGTTGTTTTGAAGTGTGGTTATTCTAACGCTGTAGAGGGAAGAAAACCCATAAGGCTGGCTCCAAAACACCGTGGGGAAAAGGAGTGTTATTGTTGGGGTCGACATCTTCTAACCTCCCTTCACGTAGGGAAGGCAGCATCAGCGTGATACTGCTGGTCATTCAAGGGAAACAATTTATTACTGTCATACCCTATCCAATCAGCAGTAGGACTTTTCCCCAGACTCCCATTACCGTGTAGTAGTTTACACTACCACGATAACTGCTCATAGTTTTACTACTATGCAGCAGACTTTTGTGGTATGGTAGGATGTCGAGGGAATAAGCGTTGCAAAAGTGTATCTCGTTGGGTTATTGTGATGCACTATGTCGACCACCACGTCGAGTTGCCAGCTATTGGTTGAGAAACTAACAGCAGAATCAAAATTGTCATTATTTACTGTGTGAGATACATCAGCTAGATATAACTGTTATCTTGTTTGCTGATGTCTTCATTGTAACTTAAACATAGCTGCAATACTCACCTTTTCAGTGGGTGTCAGTACGTATTGGCAATTTTCAACTTTTTTTTGTTGATTCACAGAACTAAATTGATTAGTCTCTGTTGGCATTGTATGGACACTTCCATACTGTTGTTAGATCATGGTTGTATACTGAAGTATCCATACAAAGTTTATATGCTAACACAGACTTGTCACTTTAGTGCTGAATAAGCAACAGACAAATTCAAAAGTATGTGGGTTATTACTTATTTCTCAAAATTATACTGATGTTTATTTTCAATCAATCTGATAAGTATTTCCTATTTCAGTGCATCTAATAAGTCTCCGCCTGTTGACGATCAGTCAGATGTGAACACAAATGTTAATTCATCTCGCCGTTCTGTGAATAAGCAACTCTCTCAACCCCGACGAACTGCACCAAGTATGTAATTTAAATGGTTACCTGATTTTTTCACTCAGGAATCTTTTTATATATATATATATATATATATATATATATATATATATATATATATGTATATCAATATAGGACCAGGCATTACTGCGTAACGGTCCGAGTTGCCACACTTCACCTCAGTTCATCAAGTAGAAAGGTAGTGAGGTGCAGGATGAAGATAAGTGAATGCAGTCAAAAGAAATATAAAGTACGAAAAGAAAAGAAAGAGGAGTGACAAAATGGTGAGATTCGGTATAGCGTTGTTAAGATGAGGATAATGTGTGTATACATCTGCGCCACTGACTTCGGTTCTGAGCCATATCACCTAGGGTCTCCAACCACTGGTTCCTCTTGTCCGGTGGACCTCAACCACCTAGTCTGCATCGTCCTACATGGCTTAAACCAACAGTCAGAGACTTCATACATTGGTGCCATGTTTTAGTCTGGTCACCTCGGACCTTCTTCCATCCTGAACCTACTTCGGCCAACATTGTGTGACGAGGCAATCGGTGACTAGGCATACGTAGTACGTGTCCCAACCATCTCAATCGATGAAGGTTCATAACCTCGTGAACTGACTTACCTCTTCTCCCTAAAACTCTATACCTAACTTCTGCATTACTGACGTGGTGACATCAGCAACTATATATATATATATATATATATATATATATATATATATATATATATATATATAATACATATTGAAGTGAAGTAGAAATGTAGTCAGCAGTTGGACCTGGTAGCCCTAGTTGGTAGAGCATCGAGTCAGAAACCCTGTGGTTGCTGTTTCGAGCTCAGCCGCTGTTCAATTTAGCATCATTTCATTTTAAAAGAAAACTATTAATGACCCTGGCTAACTGACAACCAATACACAAAGTTTAGTAGTGATGTTTGTACAGAATGAATCACTTATGATGTTGGTGATTTATATATGGGCTTTTTTATTACTTAAACCTCTGTCAATATTCACACAGTCAGAAAATGTGTTAACAAAACCCAAATACTCTTATGTTCCGATGTAGAATTTCGTATGAAGTGAATGTAGGCTAACAAGAATTTGCATAAATGAGAAAAAAAATCACAAAATGCATCCATTTTCTCCACCTAGTGCATTTAGAAGATATTTATTTCCATAGTGTTGGCAACCTGGAGATGTCAGTCAAGAATGAAATCTTGATAAGACATAGACGTTTTTGAATCATCAGCAATATTTTTTTCTTCTTGATAGATTTCTTTCGTTATCTCTTTGTTAACGCTCATGGTTCAACGTTTTACTCAACAGCTATTGCTAATCAAATGTGACTTCTTTTTTTGTTGTTGAAACAATTGTATTAGAACAAGACGTATATAACCGAACAATATTGTTTTCAATTAGATCCTCTTCAGGCTTTACTCTAATACAAATAGCTTAACCAATCATTTAGAATTTTCGGTTGATGTGATAAATGTTTAATATATAACGATGGAGATAATAATACCAATAATGATAAAGATAATGATTAAATGATAACGTTGACTAAAGCACATGCAATATAGATGGTAATGATGATGATGACAAGAACCAAGATAGTAGCATGAAAATGTAGACACTGCAATAATCAAAATGGGTCAAAAGCTGCCTTGGGAAAATAAAGGTTACGTAATAGTGAAGGGCGAGGTAAGTGGATAAATAAAGCCTAGACAAATACAGTAAGTATACCAAAGGGGGTGAAGAATAAGAAAAGGGGTAGGAAATAATAATAACTGAATGACAAAGTTATTAACTAAGTATTCCATGGCCAAGGGAGAGATAAGAGATGTACAAACTTCTTCTGAATACAAAGGCCTAGGATTGTTAGCTCGAATTCCCACAGCTTCTGCTATGTGTAAAAGACGAGTTTGAATACTTTTTGAAAGATGAGATTGGTATGCAGTGAATAATTGTGAAAGTATTGTTTTTATCTACTAAGTAACCACTATCAACGAGGTGAGATAAAACTGAGCTTCTGATGAATTTTATCTGTCCCTTTCCCAACCATGTATTAACCGTAGGAAATTTTTCCATCGTTTAAGGATCATATTCTGAATTCAGGTACAAGTTTCACCGACGAAATCTGTAATATCCTAGCTAGTACATATTATATATTTATTTTTCGATAGTCATACATACCTTCTGCATAGATTGTTAACTTTGCGCTAGAATCATTTTTACCATACTAGGTTTAGAGTTTTATAGGTATCTATGTGTTTTTCTTTATGACATCTTGTAACGTTGCTCAAGAAAACTTTTTAATGAAAGACTAAAACTTGAGAACACTATGGCGAGGTATAGTTTCAGATTATATTAGTCTATTTGATGGCTGACAGAGGATCCGTCAACTGGATGTACCTAGACCCCCAGTAAGTGATGTTGTTCCCAGTGAGACTTGAACTCAGTACCCGTCGGTTCAGACGTCAAAGCGTTATCCACTAAGATGCTACTGACTTGTTGACGATGTCAGAATCTTGATGACCAGGAATCCTATAGCTGATTTTTCACACTATATACATATACACGACATATTTTATATCATAATTTTTAGTACTGAAGTTTATAATTACTCTTCTTATCAATTTGTCTGTATTCAAAATAAAAGTTGCTAATGAACGATCTCGTAATAATTGGATATATGTTAATCGTAAATGTACTCCTGGACCAAGTACACAACGTCGTGTATCACCTTCAAAAAATCAACAGACTGTTACATCAAGTCGAAATTTAAAATTGATGCAAAAACACCAATTAAATGAACGAGAAGTGATTGAACCAAGGAATAGTCAAGTTCAACGTAAGAAACGACGACTTCGAAGTGGTGTAAAAGCTTTAAAGGAAATAAGAGCTTTTCAACGTAGTACAAATTTATTGTTAAGGTAAGTAGTGTTGACTTGTCAATTTGATAGTTTTATTCAAAAGATATATACCTTTATTCTAATGCTAATTGAGAATAAGGATTCCGCCGTGGAATACACTAACTTCTATATCGAATAATCTAATCTATTTACCAAAGAATTTCCATTAGTTTGTCGGTAGTTTGTATAACCAGCTGTGTAGCCTATATCCAAATGGATGGCATGAAGTGAGGATAGTGATAAAAAGAAAACTCTTCACATGTGATTGGTTCAACATATTTCCAAAGTGGAATTTATTAGGAAGTGGTATCTATGCAGATACAAAGTCATATACTTTACATAGAAACAATGACTTCCAATTTCAAATGGTTAAGGTTGAATAGGGGAAGCTTTTGCTTAGCTAACTTCCATATCAGGAGAAATCGGTCACCAATTATTCTCTCTCTCCCTCACACACACACACACACACACACACACAGAGGGAATTCAAAGCATTGAAAACTTTGAAGGCATAGAATCTACTCCTAATATGCAATCCACTCTGTTTGAGTGTTCGCTTTAAAGTTATGTGTCAGACCTAGGCTTAATCAAACGGTGAATTGGACTGAATGGGCAAGAATATTGACGATATTATATACCACTATAGGATCACTTCTTTATGATACCATTCGTTTCTCGTAAGTTAAATCTTATTCCTCCTACTTGGATATTTTTGTATTTCGTTAATGTGCAAAGGAAGACTATAGTTCTGAATTCTTTTGAAAATTTTATGGAAACAATTCCGATTAAATTCTCTAAAAGTTCATCATAGTGCCACAAGAGACTCGAAAAATGGAACCCCAAGAAATTCCACTAAAACATCCCATGTTTTTTAGAGAAATATGGTTCACCCGAACTATAAGTTGGTGTTCACATGAATCATGTGAGGACCAATCAACAAGCAGTGAACTAATCTCATTTAGCTTCAACTTACTAGTGAGGAACTTATTATCTATACAATCAAATGCCCTGGAGAACTCGAAGTAGCATTAATTTCACTCAGACTGCCAGTGATAAAAGTCCACCTATCTACCCGTTTGAGCAGATGAGTAATGAAATAATAATGTTTCTAAAACTTTATTGAGGGAACATACTCTTGCACTCTTTCATAAATTGTTTACCCGATCCATAGCTGGCAACTCGACGTGGTGGTCGACATAGTACATTACAATAACCCAACGAGCTACACTTTTGCAACGCTTATTCCCTCGACATCCTACCATACCACAAAAGTCTGTTGGATAGTAGTAAAACTATGAGCAGTTATCGTGGTAGTGTAAACTACTACACGGTAATGGGAGTCTGGGGAAAAGTCCTACTGCTGATTGGATAGGGTATGACAGTAATAAATTGTTTCCCTTGAATGACCAGCAGTATCACGCTGATGCTGCCTTCCCTACGTGAAGGGAGGTTAGAAGATGTCGACCCCAACAATAACACTCCTTTTCCCCACGGTGTTTTGGAGCCAGCCTTATGGGTTTTCTTCCCTCTACAGCGTTAGAATAACCACACTTCAAAACAACAGTCCTCAAAACTGCATGTAACAGGCCCCAAGTAGATGTCTCATGATTGCTGTGGTCACAAACATCAAGTACCTCAAAAAATGGTCTTCCAGAGTTTGGGCAACCAGGAAGTGTCAACCATCCACCCCCGGCCCTCCACACACACACACACACACACACACACACACACACACACACACACACACACACTTCCAGCAGCACACAAGACCTAATCAAAAACAACACATCCTCCTCAACTCTGTCTCCTGCATTGCCTTCATCTCCTGAAACCAATATTAAGGCACTTACACCTTCCCCAACATCTCAGTCTGCTATTTTTGCCAACGATCAAAGCCATCCAAACTCCAATCCTAGTCCTCTAAGACCCCATCATCGATTTCATGTAGGAGGTTTCAACGTCTCGAACTCTATGTCTACTCGGAGAACAGGTATCTCCTGCCAGAACTCTGGACTCAGTAGTCATGAATGTATGCTGTCTCTGAGACACGTATACAGAACCCGAGTGTGGTTACTGAATTGACTTCACCTGAGCATAGTAGTGAATCTTGAGAATTCACCTGAAGAGTATCTGGAGACTCAGTGGCTAGCTGTCGTTGGTTTCCTGGTGTAGGCATAGTAGTGAGTTGTAGAAAGAGAAGTGGGCTTGTCAATTGGATACCAGTCAACAGCTGTCTATCTGGTGTTCGACTGAATGTATGTGTGAGAACTAGGAAGGATTGTGTGACTAACCGATGCCTATTCGTAATCTCCGCAAACTCACTCACTCCGTAACTGCAGTTTGGATGATGCGAAGAAGAACGAATGCTATGAAAGAGAAGCTGTCGAATTTATAACAGAAAGCAAAACGTTGAGATGTAGTCATAATGCAGGTGACTTTAACGTTGAAGTGGGGAAGCTTAGTGACTTGGAAAGACACTGGCTACGGAATCCGATGCCAATGAACCGACAGCGGTGGTTGTCTGTCACAATTTTGTTTCGACAGTCACTTGTTTCTGGCCAGCACTTACTTCATAAGTGAGTGGAGACACTATCTTAGATGGTGTCCGCGGACTTGAAACCATTGATGGACACAGATTGGTGACATTGGTATAATCCATCGGTGGAGGGTGGCCGCTCTTTCTAGAGCACCTGTTTAGACTCCAGTGACGCATTATTACCGGCTCGTGTATATCTGTGCCTTACTGGTGACAGGAACTGGGCTTTTGTTTGTGTCTGTCTATTCTCAGTTGAGAGATGATGAGGTCAAAAAGGTATTCGGTGGAGAGTTACCTAAGCATTCGTCTGAGCATGTCAACAATGCTGGATCCACGAAGATCATGGATGACTTTAAGTCTACTGTTGGAACAGCTGTAAAGATAGTTGTTCACTTGCCTACACTAGGTTAGCAAACGCCATTGGATTTTCGTGACTGACTGATGCTAGAAGACTGATTCGAGCTGACTGTGACTGAACATAGTGAAGAGGGAAAGCAAGTCAAATGTAAGCTGACCAAGAGTCGGTGTGTCGACTGTGTGCAGTGTTGTGTGACGAAAGTGATAGGTGGTGAAGACATGAGCATTGGTTAACACTCTGAAATTATTTCAGCTTATTAAGGATGATGGAAAGAAGATGAGGGTGAGTGACGCCATCATCGAGAAGGACGAAACGCTGATAACCTCTCAGGACAGACAGCTAGAACGTTGAACACCTAGCTTTGAAGCACAGTTGCCCTGGCCCTCAGCAAAGCTTCGGTTTCCCAATGTCTAATCTAATCTGAATGGCACATAGACTTGATTCCTTTGACTGTCGTTGAAGTCGAAAAGGTTGAATCGAAGCTGAAACAATGCGAAGCAGCAGGACCTGACAGTTTATCACCTGGATGTAGGTATGAAATTGCTAATAATGTGACGGATTTACTAGGAAATATATGGTAATGAGCGATAGTGCCATCAGACTAGTGTACTTCACTGATCATCTCAGTTTATAAGAAGGAGGATACGTCTTTCTGTGACAACCATAGGAGAATTAGTTTGACTAATATTGTGTCGAAGGTCCTAGGCTACATAGTTATCCGACGCTGAATTGTAGCTGGATAACAGCAAACTGGAGGGAAACTAACAGGTTTGGGACTGGACTGAACGAGGGTGCATCGATCATAGCTCCAGCCTACAACAGGTTTTGGAGCACAGGCATACTTGTCGACGAACGGTCGACACTTACTCTGTTTCTCGACCTGAAAACTGCATTTGACTTTGTCGACCATGAGGTGTTGTATCAGGGTCTAACTGTAGAAGGAGCATCGAGTAAGTAGTCAACGCTAATCAAAGCTGTCTACTCGAATTCACACAGCTGTGTAAAGGCTTGTGGAGAGAGTTGTCATCAGAATTGACGACAAATAGTGGTGCTTGTCAGGGATGTCGAGTGTCACCATTCCTACTTAACTTCGTCATAGGGGTGTTAATGTGCATGAAGGTATGTACGTCTGACTTTACAGGGATCGATCTGCTTCTTCCAGGCCAGCTGCTTCACTTGGAGTATGTAGATGACGTTGTCCTGCTAGTAGAAGATGCTGATAAAATGTAGGGTGTTCTGAAGGCGTTTATCAGAAGTCTGGGAGTGTTTAGCATGCATTTCACTGGTACCTGTCAAATGTAATGTAAGATGACGCTGCAAGATTAGCCTCAAACGACTCTGAGGTTAATGATAAGGAATAAAGTGGTGGAATGTGTCAACCACTTCACTTACTTTGAAAGTTGTCTATGGTCGTAGAGTGAGAGGTTGGAGAAGTTGTAAGTGCTGTTATAGAAGTATCAGAAGGTGAAGGCGATGGAGGTGATAGAGTTGAGGAGCATAGGTTATGTTTGATTAGGTCTTGTTTACTACTCGAAGCATATGGGTGGTTGACACTTCCTGGCTTCGTTTGCTCAAGTTTGAGATTTTGGTTATTTGCTTTGGGATCCGATTATGAAGGATTTCAGGTAGCATAGAGGCGACAGTTTTGCTGGAAATCGGTGCCACCCAGAATCAGGCTGTCATTTATGCATAGCTGTAGAGAACAGTTCGCATTATCCTGTCTGTGGTCAGCTAATCCGAATGACGTTATTCGGCTTGTGCATCGAAGTCCCTAGATAGCACCATGATATCTGTCAAGTGGTGTTGGTTGAAGAGGTTGTTCATTAGGTGGTAGAAATCATCGCTTTCTTCATTCGGGCTGCAGTCTGTTAGAGCTTAGGTGTCAGTGGTAGCGAAGTATCATTTTCCTTGACAGTTACTTTTTATTCTAATCTAACCTTGGAGCCTAATAACACACCGAGCAGTATTAAGAAGGATCCAGTCAACTAGGTAATCTTCAGTCTTAGCAATAAATGCGATATCCACATCACCAGTGGTAGCTGCAGGTACCCCTGAAAGTCTTTTGATAAGCTCACAGTAAACATACTTTTTGAGCTTGATAGATGGATAACTTATGTTAAGCATTTCACTGGGATCTTTAATATGAAGTACGGCGTATGTCAGTAGTCGAACCCGTTCATTGTCTGACTTGCATCAAGGTGTATAGATAGACTGAAGGCAGTGGAATTCAACATCACACTTGTCTCTGGAGTAGTTGAGCAAGGAAGGTGAAGCTTCTTCTTAGAAGTTGCTATTCAATGGTCCAGAACAACAGTACAGTACACACGTTGATCAGAATTTCAGTCAGTGTCAAACAAGGATGTGAGTAAAACTGATGGCCAACTGGATGCGGCATATATTTGATAAGAAGCAAGAATAAAAAGACAGTAAACTAAATGTCTGATTATTAAGCTAGTCAGTCATTCAAGGTAAACATGGGAACGCATTATTGTGTAGCTGTTAAAGTTACGTCAAAGTAGAAGTCACATAGTTGGGAAATAAAGAAATCAGGAATAAAGCAATTAGATTAGTATCAAGTTGTAAAACAAGAGGAGGATGAAAAGAATGGGAGAAAACTGAAACCCGACAGGACGATTCAGATAATAAAGATAATGAGTGGGAAAACAACTGCTCTACTAAGATTGATTCTGATCTGTATCTACCCCTAGACTCTTTAAACACCGATTTCGGTTGTCACGTCGCCTCCCAAACGGGAAGTTCACATGGTTTAGACCAACAGTGAGAAACTTTGTTGACGGATGCTGTTTTAGTCTGACGCTATCGAACCTTTTTATTCAGCTTGAAGCCACCTCAACCAATATTGTGGAATGGAGAAGACGGAAACACGTGTCTGAACCAGCTGAGTCGATGAAAGTTCGTAATCGCATCAATTGACTTCAACACTTCTGTTTAAGACTCTACGCCTAACTTTTACGTCACTCACTGACGTGGTGACATCACGACATATGGTGTATGCTATGAATTCAATTAATGGTTGAACACCGTGAGTCTTCTCGTCTCGTCTACTTTCAATGACCATTTATCACCGGGATGTAGTGTGATAGTGTTACCGTGGAGCCAAGGGGACATCCGATTAAGGCCGGTCACACAGCCTTTGCCGAAGTTTGAGATAGTGGTGTTTTGCTTTCGAGGTCCTACTATACCATTAAGGTCTGTTGGATAGTGGTTAGACGAAAAGCAGTTGGCGTTGTTGTGTAAATTGCTACACTGTGATGGGAGTCTGAGGACGAAGTTGTACTGCTACTAACTGAATGGGGTGTGACAGCAGTAAGGTGTTTCCCTTGGTTGAACAACAGTGCCATGCTGATGCTGCCTTCTTAGTAGAAGGGGGGTTAGAAAAGGTCGGCCCCAAAAATAACACAGTCCATCATGCCCCATTGTTTGCCAGGCCAGGGGGTGTTGGTTCATTTGTCGTTTCTTTTTCCACCATCCGGCCTCAAAATAACCATATACAAAAGACTGAGTGTGACAGGCCTCAAACTGATGTCCGACGTGCTCTGTGGTCACACAAATCTCTTCCAGGTACCTTAAGAAGAAGAAGTAGCCTTCCACGGTGTGGGCAGCTGAGAAGTGTCAACCGCCCCCATAAATCTCTCAGACTGCTTTCTACCTCCCTCATCATTACCTTCTAATCTTCCTTCACATCTCTCAATTAACGCTACTGTATCATCAATTTTCCTAGTTCTGTAGCCTTTGAAAACGGTCTGAGTTCACAGAACAATATCCGTAGTTTTTTTTCAATGATGCTCCAAATTACACATCAGGGCCTTCACCTTCCGTCAAATTGATCAGCAGGCTTCATTGGCCAAGGCTGTAGCAACTCGGACCATGGATATGTGCTGTGTTTGTGAGACTTGCATACAGGACCCAAGTGGGGCCATTCACCTAACCTCTCCCGGCCACTCTGTTGAATCCGCAAAATTCACCCTTTGAGTTTCTGGAAATTCGATGGTCAGCTCTCGTGGCCGTGAAGGTGTAGGCATAGCATTAGGCACTAGGACAGAAAAGTCACTACTAGACTGGATCCCAGTTGATAGTCGTCTCTGCGCTGTCCAGCTGAATGGCATAGTGAGAACTGAAAGAAACAGTGAGACTCGCCGTTGTCTTTGTAATCTCTGCTTATGCACCTACTGACTGCAGTTTGGATGAAGTGAATGACGAGTTCTACCGTAAACTGTCTAGCCTTTTTTCGAGAACCAAACGTTTGGACGTTTCGCCACCCTAAGCCCTCTTCCAACCTATTCTAACTTCCCGTAGCATGGCACGTCGAGGTCGGTGGTGGGTGGCTCGGTATGGGGAACACATGTCTCAGCAACTTCAGTCGACTAAGGTTCATAACCTTGTCAATCGACTTGCCTGTCTTTCCTAATACCCTTCGCCTGACTTCAACATTGTTCACACTATGATGCCACCAAACATGAGCAATGCTGCATAGACACCTATGACCAAAACTCTGTAATCGCTTCATGTTTCCGCTGATTCCTTTTTAACTATTCCCGTAGACTCGGTAAATGACTCTGAAGGTGAACTCTAGTGGAGATAGTTATATGTTCACAGTTGAGGAAATGTTCAAGGATTGAATTGTTAATTGATTCACATTCTCCCCTCAACAAGTATGCTGCAGGATAATGCTCAAAGATACGTTTGGACAGTGGGCAGTTTGTGTGGCCAATATAAGTAGCTGCACAGGAGCAGGTAAGTTTGTAGACACACGCATTGATGTGACCTGACCCAAAGGGGGTAACTTGTCCTAATCTCAATTGTTTGTTATCTTAAAACGATATGTTAGATAAACTGAGCTTCATTTTGAGGTAGTATTCATCACGGACTGAAATCAGTTAGGGTGCTATTGAAAACCACCTAGAAGCACTAGTGTGGGACACCTCAGCAGTACGCATGCATGACTCCGTCCAGGAATGGAACTCAGGACCTTCAGGTTATACAGTGAACGCGTTAACCATTCAGGGATTGGGTCGAAGTTCATTGGTTCACAGTTTCTAAGTTCTATTAACTCACGATATAGCGTGACTATCACCCAACGTCTTCAGATGGGATTCGTTTCCCTTGAAATTGGTTGACCCTCACAGGTCACGGTTTGTCATTAGAACTTCGTGATATCCATCTGGAAGCATGTCGCTAAGGAGCACTATGCAGTAATATATTCTTGAGATGAATAGGGATTTCAATGTATTACGCATCACAGACTGATATTGGTTGGGGAACTATTGAAAGCCACATGTGAGCACTGGACAGCTGACCTGTAGGGTCAATCACTCAGAAGGGAAGCGATTGCCATATAAAGACATTGGGTGATAGTCTCGCTATATCATGAACTGACAGAAGTTGGGAACTGTGACCCGTGGAAGCTGAAGGCCCTGAATTCGGTCGTTGATTGGGGTCATGGGTGTGTACTGTTGAGCTTCATTGTGTTACCCTAAGGTGTGTATGTGTAGGTGTAAGTGCGGTGGGTTAGGATGTACATTTAGTGAGAAGTGATATATCCGGAGTAGATGCACACGCACTTATGTTTGTTTGTGTTTACAGAAATCTATTGTTGTTATAAATGAATAAAAGTGATCTGTAAAAGAAAGAAAAAAACATAATTTTTCATTTTTCACTTTCCTTCCCCCGCTCTCCCTCTCTTTTAAATTGATTTATTTAACAGGAAGTTACCATTTGCTCGATTAGTACGTAGTTTGACAGTGAATTCACTTGGTCCAAGATATTTAGATTTTCGTTGGCAAGCTATATGTTTTTTAGCTTTACAAGAAGCTGCAGAAGCTTTCATAGTTCAATTATTTGAATCTGCTCAACGTTGTGCTATTCATGCTAGACGAGTTACAGTTATGAGTAAAGATTTACAATTGGTCACATGTTTACAGAATATCCCGACTACATCCAATTTTCGACATCTTGAACATGGAAATACTCAATCTAGAAAAATGATATATTCAAATAAAGATCAAAATGAGTCTGATGAAATCAGCTCTTAATTAATGAGGTGTGTTAGTTACACGTCCAGCCCCCGCCCGCCCCCCGCCTCACCCTAGTCTCACACCTCCCCTTTGTATATACATATCATCTCCTGTTATCTCTTGACAATTTCAATGATGATATGAACCATTTTATTATTATTCTTATTGACGTCATATTCATTGTGATGATAGGGCTAGTTGTCTTATAATGATGATATATCGTGTGACGAGATGACATCTCATTACTAGAGGCCAGAGATGGATAGATTTCTCTTATCCAATTACTGATTATTTATTACATTCACTGTGTTATTTATAATACACACATGTATATATATCTTCATATCTCATATAGACTTTTAAGAACATTTTTCTATACCGGTTGCTTTTTATTTCTCTTAGCTATTTTCTTCGTTTATTACTTACTAAATTTCTTTGTATGCCTTACACAGTCCTCTCCTCTGTGTGTATATACATGTATGATAATCGTTGTCCTTCATAATATGGCTAGATCCTGTTGTCCAAGTGAAGGGGGGGTGTACAGACTTGACGCCTATTTACTACTTCGAGTACATCTCTACTCGGTTGTATATATATATACATATGTTGTCAGTTTATCCAACTTACTTCGTGTGTGTGTGTGTGTGTGTGTGTGTGTGTGTGTGTGTGTGTGTGTGTGTGATATTCGTGTCAGATATTCTAATTCTGTGCAAATGTTCAATATTTCCACTAGATTATTTATTTTCTTGCTTTAAAATAAAATGTTACGCAGTATATCGTAGTAGTTTTATAGATGAAGCTTGAATAAACCGAAATTATACATTGCCAATTTGTTTGTAATTATCATGTTGGAAAGATGCATACAGATCAACTTTGTTATACGTTTCAATGATAAGTTTACGTGTAGACAAAGTTGGGCATCTTATTGTTGTCTAGGTCAATGGGATCAACTCAGTCTTGTGTGTCAATCATTATCAACATAGGACCAGGCATTACTACTGCGTAACGGTCCGAGTTGCCACACTTCACGTCAGTTCATCAAGTAGAACGGTAGTGAGGTGATGAAGATAAGTGAATGCAGTCAGAAGGAAGGAAATAGGAGCGACAAAATGGTGAGATTCGGTATGGTGTCGTTAAGATGAGGATAATGTGTGTGTGTGTGTGTATACATCTGCGCCACTGACATCGGTTCTCAGCCATGTGATCACCTAGAGTCTCCAAAGTCTTGTGTATGTGACTACACATACTTTTAAACTGGTGGAAATCAATACATAAGTTGCATTTTCTCTTCGTAGTGTTTACTTTATCGGGATAATAATCACCTTTTCTGGTGGGTATCTTTGTTCACCTGTCAGACTCTATGAATCATCCATATACAATACCATAATACAGACACCTTTCTTTGCATCTGACTGTTCAACACTTTTATTAAGAGCAATCAATTTTAGGGGATAATCGTGTAATAATACGTTCTGTGATGAGCTCTTGTGTATTCTATTCTAAAGTATCATTTGTGTATATTCTTTGGTTCCGGTTGAACGGATACTTAACGAGTGCCTGTCTGTTTATACTCCATCATCATCATTATCCATCAACATAGGACCAGGCATTACTGCGTAACGATCCTATTTGCTACACCTCATATCACTACATCAAGCAAAAAACCAATGAAGTGGAAGATGAAGAAAAGAATGTTCAGTCGAAAGAAATATAAAGTACTGAAAGAGAGAAAGGAAGAATGAGAAAATGGTGAGATTCGGTATAGCGTCGTTAAGATGATGATAATGTGTGTATACATCTGCGCCACTGACATCGGTTCTCAGCCATGTGACCACCTAGAGTCTCCTACAACTGGTTCCTCTTGTCCCGCGGACCCCAACCACCTAGTCTACACCGCCCCACATGACTTAAACCAACAGTCAGAGACTTCATACATTCGTGTCATGTTTTAGTCTGGCCACCTCAGACCTTTTTCCAGCCTGAACCTACTTCAGTCAACATTGTGTGATGAAGGTTCAAAGCTGTGTCAATTGACTTACATCTCCTTAAAACTCTACACCTGACTTCTGCGTTACTCACGTGATGACAAAGTGATCTGTAGGATCAAGTAAGTTGGATGGAAGGGGAAATACCCGCTGATGGTATTGAGTGACTTCAGAACTATATTATGGGTTGACAGAAGGTCGGCTATTGAATTACAACGAAGATGATTGAGTGCTAGTGTTGACTACGAGGTCTCACTATCCTGAATTCAATCTCACGCGTGTTCACATCGCTAAGGAGTCCTAGACTAGAATAAAATAGTTATCCGGTGCTCTGTGGTATGTGATGGAAGCTTCTTTAACTTTGTTCTTCCCATGGTTTCGCGTTGGTTGGGTCATTTTAAGAAGGTAATAATGATTTAATGGTTGTAGCTTTTCGATATCGTCATCTGCATTCCAGTATCCATATAACAGAATACATCAATCTTAATTATTCACATTCTCTTGAGCTGGTTAATAATAACACTAGGAGTATTCAAAATGGGTTGACCTAGTAATTGAGTTGAATTCAGTGATGCAAAAACTACTCGTTAATACTTGTAAAACTGGCTACAGTTCGCATTTGATTACAAAACTCCTCAGGTTTATTTATACCATCGATGTGGATAGATTCATATTGTGATGTTACAAACTTACACCGAGAAATTCCTTCTAGATCACTGGAAAACAAATGAAGATTACAGCAAAGATAATTATCCTTTCGATGACTCATTCTTATAGTTGTATAGTTGTAAAGTGACAGAATGTTCTAAACAAGTTTAATGTCAAAGGTCGGACTTAATTAATGTTGAGCGGTTTGAAGTTGTTCATCTTTAAACCCTTGATTTTTCATAAGTGTTCAACCCTCACCTCTTTTGAAGGGTTTGGTCTAACTTTGAACAAGGTTTCCCAAACATCCAGAGTCTACGAGTAATTCAACAATGTAGCTGGAGTTGGGCTATTTGCTCAGCCTTCAGCAGCTAAATATTGGGTATTATTGATGCGCGTGTTTTTCAAGTGGGTGAATAGTAACACCCGATGTACTGAGCTTCACAAAAAGCAATTGAACTTGTAAATTCGCATTTATGACGCCCATCAGTTTTTCGCAAATGTTCTGGTGAATCAGCGCTGTTGACATCAGAAGACAATACGGAGATTCGCAGCATAGAATATTCTATTAAGGGAGTTCGACAAGCGTTTCCTAACGATGTTCGCAGTAGTGTCATTTTTGACCCTGAGGTTCATTAAAAATACTTTTTTCGCAGCTGTCTGGATCTATTTCGTAGTCTTCCCTTATTTCATATTTTCCTCCATAAATCTGGATGGGTAACCATTCTCTAACAGTATTTCTAAGAGTCCGTAATTCTTTGATAACTGTATCATCACTGATTCTTGATGAAAGTCAGCGCACAAGATTCCTCTTACCAATTAAAGGTATCCAACTTTGAACGTTGTTCGATTACTTGTATCAACTAGACTTTCTGTAGATGGATCAGACCTCCTTTGGATTTCGATATTGTGGGAATGAAACCTTGAGTTCACTCTCAGATTCTGGTGTAAAACCGACTGAAGGATGGTGAAGTGCCCTATTGGAATAAGAGGTAGGTAATAACAATACTGAACCCAGTGGTCATACTACAGTTGAATACCAATATAACTATTCCACTTCAGGACTTCCTTCTTCACTGAGTCATACAAACATCAAAAGACGAAAACTGACCTGAAACTCCTAGGGCGACGACGACAACTTTATTTGATAAACCATAGCATGTACAAACAATCCGATACACATAAAAGATGTCCTATGTCAAAGATCAAAATAACACAATCTTATTGGCTACCGAATCGTCCAATCAGATTGTTTCACCTATATATAGAAATAAATCAAAATGTAGGACGGAAACACTTCTACCACGACGGCTGATGACCTTGGACATTGATTGCCATATTTGATCACTTCCTATCAAGTGGTTGTCCTTGAAGTTTTACAGGGAGCGTGTCAGATCCAGTCGCAAACAATGAAGGTGTATCGTCCATGAAGCTAACAGACTGTTCGGTGTACTATTTTTCAAGGCTACCGTTAAGGCAGTTGAGGTCCAAGAGATAATCCGAATAATACACCAATTTGTCTGTAAATTTCGCTATTAAATCTAAAGTGTGAACGTTCAACGTATATCATCGGATAAGTTCTTCCAGGTTATAATCTTAATTTCTGGTTTAAATGAAGTTATTTCTGTAAGCGGTACGTTTTATAAGTAGGGAAACTATGTCCAGTGTAACTAAGATGGCCTTTGAAGTCACTCCTAATGGGGTGACTTTAAAGGTCATCCCAACAACTGCGAAGATAACCAATCAGGTCGCTGTGTCTCGGCTGGGATAACAATTTTTTTCATACAACAGAGGAAAGTGATTGGCTGTTTCATCAGTTGCAAGAGTGGTGTTTAAAGTCAGTCTTGATGTACTAGAGACAGCAGTTGATTTGTGTTGTATCCGTAACTAAAAACGGAATGACAGTGACAACTAATCAATTGAAAATGTTTTCCATGTATCTGTCTTTTCTTCTCATTCTTTGACATCGTGATTAGACCGTTGATGTGTACATTTGCTAAATACAATATCATTATGGAGGCTGGCTGTCTACCTTTGTTTTCACTTTCAGTCAGGTAACTGATATGACTTTCTGGACATCGGAACTCTTCTCAATAATAGTAGATGAGACCAACGTTGGGCATTTCCTTTAGTCTGTTGACCATCGGACTCTATAGGAAGCTACATTCCCTACTGCTGTCAACTCGCGATCTCCATCTAGTGTATCTGTGGCAAGGTCACGTGGTTACACAACTGAAGAGTCCTATACTAGTACGAAACAGCTGCCCGTCGTTTCTCCAATTGATATCAATCCATAATGAATACCAATCTTTATATTTCCTCTTGTCCCTCCAGGTATACAAGAAAGTATTCAGATTATAGATAAAAATCAATTATTGATTTAGCAATATTCAAGCCTTTATTTCCCTGAAAAAGAAGAGGATTAAGGAAAGTGAGTAAGCAAGCGATTAACTGTTAGGCTTTCTAGTTCCACTCAGTAATAATATTAGTGATAATAACTTGTATGGGGTGGTCTTTCAGTCATTTGTTTTTAAAAGTTCTAGGAAGAAGTCGAGAAGGGATTGTAGTCACAAGAAATTAGACATTCATCATTCACCACATCTATGTATACATGTGTATATATATACACCTTTATTTAAGGCCTGGATGTGTCTTTACGTAGACTGCCATCTAACATCAAAGAAAAAGCACAACTTGAAATCAATGTAGCATCTTATACAATAAAAGAAGAAATTAAGACGAAAAAAAACACTAAATGAATAAGGTTGTCAAGCAAAAAAGAGTAAGTTATGAAGTATTCATCAAATAAAGAGAAAAGAAGGGGTACATGTGAGTAATCGTCCTTCAAGGTCAAACAAGGTTGTTCTAGGTCACAAAATAAAGTGGCGCTCTTTCAAATTATCCTTACTCATCATAAATAAACTAAAGGAGTTAATTTAATTTTTAGGAAGAAATTTACTCACATTTCCTCAATGTGGATGATTAAATCAATCGGAATTAATATTTTCATACCATTTTTGTTTTAATCGACGTTGTGTTTGTGTGTTTTTTTAAAATCGAAAGTAAGCGGGTCATTTGGATTCTTTAAAAAAACAGAAGATTAAAGGTGTATAAATTGACAAAAAAGAAAGAAGAAAGATATAAAACAATCATACCCGTCGTATAGTTTTTCTTTTACAATTTTTTCTCGATCCTTTTCTCCACGACGATTGATTATATGTTAGGCTGTTACTGACTTGAAGTAAAATATAATTTTCATGTATGTTTCTATGATTTATACTATTACTATTATTATTACTACTACTATTAATGTTGATATCTCTGTGAGGGATAATCATTGAACTAGTTGCCGAGAGGTGTAGTTGATTTTGATGATTTTCTCCAGTTATTCCATTGTCATCATCATCATGATCAACACTTGCTGTCGTATACTCAGATATTGTTTCATCTAACAATTTCATTCTCTCATTCTGATGATCTGAATATAATTGAATTGATTGTATTTTGATCCCTGTAAATGTTTTATTACCATTAACCTGTAGATTATTATTCATGTTCTGCTGACTGCTGAAAAAATTCCCTGTAGATATATTTTGATCAGGAGATAAAAGTTGTCCTGTATTGTGTAGAAGGAATGTGCCAAACGGAGGTTCTTTATGAGGGTGGAAAGTAAAAAGAATTCAATATGATAATGATTGCTTTTTATACAATAATGAGATAAGTATGCAACATCACAAGAAAAAACAAACAAAACCGATGGATCATCATTTTTATTTTATTATTTGTCCCTTGGGTTCCTAGTGGAACATCAGGCTTCAGTAGCACGCCCCTATTGCACTCTGTTCTCTGCAGTCACTTCAACCTGACTCCACCACTGCCCACAAGCTTTCATTCCTTCCTCACATCATCTCCTCTATGTCTTCCTTGCCTCAGACGCCCAACTCGTCGTTTCCCATTTGGGTTCCACTCGAAGGCAAGACGCGTGATGTTCACAGTCGGCCTTCTCAGTGTATGCCCAGTACAAATCATCTCCACTTCCTTCTGCATATTAGTTGGGCGATGGGTTCTTCCTTCGTTGGTCCGTTACCAGGTCATAATGCCTTGTTGCTTATTCTTTCTGGCCATCTGATCTTCAGTATCGAGTGTAGTGCACTACATCTACACACTGATTATTTCAGAATAATGAAGACCTGTCTTACTGTCCTTCCGACCCCCCCCCTTTCATGTCTTCATCTGTGCCCATGCCGCTGCCTGTAGTTGAAACGATGCTGCCTAGGTAGGTGTAGATGAAAGAGACTACTTCCTTTACGTTTCTCCCGTTCATGGTGATTACTGCTTGTTGCTGCTGTTGTCGTAGTTCGTTGGGTATCTTCATCACTTCCGTCTTCTCTACGTTCACCTGAATGGAGTTCCATCTTCCTTCGCTGCCTCACCTCTTCTGTCAGCCTATTAGTTTTTGCCTGTACATCTTCGAGCTTGTGCAACAAGATACTGGACATAAATCATCATCGGCGAAATCAAAATCTTACAGTGTCTTCTCATCGGTTCAGCCAGCTTATGCCAATCTCCTCACAGTTTGTTACATGATTCAATCCAGTCCAGTCCAGTTGACCACAGTCAGAAAGATCACTTTGATAGATAGTAGACAACATTGTCTTATTCCTATCTTCACTTCAAACGCATCATTCACCTTACCATTGTGAATCACTTGCCATGTAGCGTCCGTCACATAGCATAAAGCTGCTCTTCAATGAGGTTGATAAAGCTTTGTGCCACTGACAGCGTTGTGCTGAAGCAGCTGTCTGATAAACTACTTCTCGGTCAACGCCTCGATCGAAAGCCTCTTCAAAGTTGATGAAGTTGAGGTAAAGATCCAGTTGACTGTCATTCTACCCTCTGTTCTATGATGATGTGTAGCGTAGTGTCGTGTTGCAATTTGATCCTCACATGATTTGTTCTTCCTGAAGCCAGCTAGCCAGCCTGTTCCGGTGGTAATTTTGAATGCAGAACACATTTTAGTCTCTGCAAAATGATGTGGTTTAATATTTTGCTTGCTTTGGGTGGACAGGAGGATGATTCCGTGGTAGTTCTTGTAAACACTTAGATCGCCCACCCTTGTTTGAGAGTTTGACAAGGTAGTCGTTCTTGCAATCAGTTGGCAGGTACCTTTCCTTCCTTCCTTCCTTCCAGACCTTGTGCAATAATGGTGTGAACATGTTCGCTGTAGTCTCTGCGTCTGCTCTCAGTGCTTCAGGCGGAATTCTATCTGGAAAACCGATGGATAACTGACTTGATTGTAATAGGGTAGGATTCAACCTTATGAAAATATCACTAAAAGTTACTTTATGTAACTGTTATGGTCATTACTGTAGCGTTGTGTAAGATAAATTTCAGCCAATTGATGTATTTGTTATCAAAAGACAGTTGTTATATCATACGACTATGTTGCAACTACTTTTTAAAAGGTTCCACTAATCTCATTAATTGTTGTTTCATACATCACCAGTTGACTGAAAACGATTTTCTTCGTTTTTCAGCCTGAAAGGCATTTCTGGTTATTTATTGTATATGGGTGTGTGTGTTGTCAACGCGTTATTCAGCCGTACAAATGGAACGGATGTAAAGGTCACGCGGAAATCTAATTTAATAACCAATTAGTATCAGAGTAAAACTTGGGCACAATTTGGACACAATTTATTGTCAGTATTCATATCAGATCAGGTAACTCCACAACTTCGGATGAACACAAGAAGGAAATCTAGAGATTAGTGTCTATAGGAAACCTACCATTCGAATCGCTACTTAGACTTCGAATCATCCCACCCTATTTCAGTTAAAGTAGGCCTAGTTAAAGGCTTAAGTGATAGGATGAAAAAGCTTACTAGTAGATCGAAAAATCTGTGACAAGAAATTGGACACATCAACGAAGGCGCCTCAGAAGCATTACGAGGTATTCTGAATAAGGCTGACGGGGATTAAAATGACATTCAAACCAACAAACTAGCTTAGAAACAAGCTTTGTAGGTTAAAAGATCCTATTGATGCAATTCAGCAAAATAATCTGGTTTACCAGATTCCTTGCAATGATTGCGAGGTCAAGTATATAGGTCAACGTAGTCGACTAGTCAGGGTCGATTAGAATAACAGAGCACAAAAACCCACCCAAATCAAGATTAGTAGATCCTAATAAGATAAGAAATCTAGAGAAAAGCTCGGCTATAGCTCTGTATGCAATGACACACAATCAAACAGTAGGGTGGGATAGGGCGACAGTGTTGAAAATTAACTTAGTTGGGTGGAGGGAGAAAGAGACTGATAACCGACTGAATCTTTGTTCATCGAATCAACACACAAGGAATACATGCAGTAACAGAAATGATTCTAAACCTGTCCCAGATATATGGAAAATTCTACTTCACTTGTCATCACAGAGAAGGAGAGAAAATTAGGAATATATAAAGACTGTCTCGAAGTTGTGGAGTTACCTGATCTGATATGAATATGGACAGTAAATTGTGTCCTAAACGTGGTTATCCAATAAATGATACTGTTCCTTCACTGTGTGACATTTCTTATAAACAGACTAAAATGGAATAACCAATTAGGTTTATGTATTTGTAAAAAAATGTCACCTTTCTAGCTAAAACCCAGGGATCTGAATGGTCATTTCACGAGAAGTTTGGATGACCTTCAGAATCACTCCACAAATACAATTAGCTATAAGTCTAACTGAAAGAGAAGAACAACTGACAAATGAAAGGGCTAAGAAAATCTCGTTTGACGTTCAATTCAATCAGTAACGACTTTAATGAGAAATCAAAATTTTAAATCATCAACCATTAAACTCATTGGCTAGACTTACCTGCCTCCCAGTGAGTGATGTTTCTATCGGAATTCCGACTCAGAATCGATCGCTTCATTCACCGGAGCGTTATCCACCACACCATCGAGCCACGATAGTTTGATTCCATACTGGGAGACAGGTACATCCAGCTAACTAGTCCCAAATAGGACGAAATGCCTATCCTGGATTCCACTGCTAGCCACTGTGCACTTATACTATAACTAGAACCACAAGTATATAAAGGCATCCGCACTGGTGCCCATATGCTAATAGAGACCTATCAATTGGGTCCAATCAACAGTGGTATAATACAAGCAATTATACATTAAGGTAGAAGTTTATGTATTAAAATCTCATTGAGCACTTTTATCCTACAGCTGACCAATCAGAATAAGGTGTTTAACTTTTGACCTAGACGATTGATATACTCATGAAAACTCTATAAGTGATGTATTTTTTGTCAAATAAGGTGTTTTCCTTTGAATCACAGGCCAGCCTTCGACTGGATACGTTTTCATGCCTCTGTGGAGTATAAAGTATTGTGGGAGAACATAAGCTAATTGGATCCAGTCCAAGTATCCTATTGCGTTGGCACCATCCGCATATTTCTGATTATTATCCACTCGATCACTTCAGTAACTCATAGATATGAAAAGGAATGATATTTTAGTAATTGTCCTAGTGTGAACTTGACAGATGCCAGAGGCCAATCACTAATTATTCATATTTGTTATGTACCCAAGAATACAAGACAAAAGATGAACACAATAGCGTAGTCATATGGAATAGTTTATTTGCTAGGACGCGCCAAAGTACCGATGCGTTCCAACTAGCTGGCTAAAGAGTCGATTACGAGCAGTGCAATGTAACACTACAGCATGCCAAATGGTGTGGATGCTTGACCATATGCCTTCAGCTCAGCGAGTCCGTTGAAACTATGAAGGTCAGCATCAATACTGAATCCCATCGAACCCTAAACGATTGGTTCCAGAGAAGTATGAAAATGCCAAGTGATCCACAATGGAAAGCTCAGTGACGCCTTTGAAGTAAAGACTGAAGTAAGTCAAGGCTACCTACTATCACTCACGATCTTCCTGATTGTGGTGGGCTGGATCGTGCAGCAAACAGTGAGGAGCGAGAAGATGGGCGTACGCTGGCTGGACTGATAAAAAGACATCAGAAGATGATTTGGATTTCGCCAACGGTGATGATTTATGTCTAATGTCTTGTTGCACAAACTTGAAGATCTGCGAGCGAAAATCAGCAAGTTGACAGAAGAGGTGAGGCAGCGAAGGAAGATGGAACTCCATTCAGGTGAACGTAGAGAAGACGGATGTGATGAAGAAACCCAACCAACAACAACAAGCAGCAATCACCATGAACGGGAGAAATGTAAAGGAAGTAGTCTCTTTCATCTACACCTACCTAGACAGCATCGTTTCAGCTACAGGTGGCGGCACAAATGAGGACGTCAAAGCCAGGATCGGAAAAGCAAGACAGGCGTTCATTAGCCTGAAACCAGTATGGAGATCTTCTGCACTCAGCATAAAGAACAAGATCTGGATTTCCAACAACAACGTCAAGTCAGTGCTCCTATTATGGTTGAGAGACTTGGCGCGTTACGAAAGGCATTTCCAACAAACTACAGACATTCATCAACAACTGCCTACGCTCGTTACTGAAGATCAGATGGCCAGAGTAGTGAGAATAAGCAACAAGGAACCCATTCTGGCTGTCAACGAACCGACCAAGAACCTATTACCCAACAAATATACGGTGGAAGGAAGTGGAAATGAATTGGGCATACA